AYAAAAMTAWTAKTTTTATAATCATGAAAAGTATTAAYATTAGTCTAAAATCAGTATTTCTTATATTTTTATGATTGTACATATCTACAAACATGATTTTACTTTCATTAATTAATAGCTAAGTAGGTAGTAACAATTATTAGATTTGAAGCATAGGTTATTCTATAATTGATAATATTATAATATAATACATCATTGACCAATAATATATTTTTTTATTTAGAATTAGTAGGTACCCACTAACCATGATTGAAATTTACAAGGTTATTTGCATATATACCCTCTCTCAATTAAATATCAGTATGTTAAAAACAAAAATGGCAACGTAAAAGGAGTCAATAATAACAAGTACATTGGAACTTCGATAACTCGAACTTCTATAAGTTGAATTTTTGATAACTTGAAAGAATACCTTCGCCACTGCCTTACAAATTTCAATACATGATGTGTGTGAACTTCCATAAGTCGAATTTTAGATAACTTGAATTTTTTTTTCGCCCACAACCTTTTCGAGTTATCGTGGTTCTACTGTATATGTGCACGTGCATTTTTATGCCAGCCGCTGACAGCAAATTTTTCATGATAGTAAAAATGTATAAATTTTGTAATTTTTGATACCCCTTTACGCATACATTTTGTATCTGATGATAACTATACTTGTCGATATGCAATAACCAGTATATTTCAACCATGTAGGTACCTATTAATATTAAGTTATTAGCCTTGATTTATAGTATCAGTATAATATTGTGTATCAGTTAAGAATTGTTTTTATTATCATTATTGGCAATAATTGGATGTTTTTATCTTGGATCAGTGTTAAATATACAGTCTTACCGTACGTTCAATATTCTTGTACTTAAATCCTGTACATTTTTGAAAAAATAACAATCTTATATTAATTATAAAGGTTTTTAAGTGTTATATTTGATTATAATAGTAAAAGTAGCAAGTGGTTTGAATCTATGATCGAACTGTAAAAAAACGTTAAAACGTTAGCTGTTTTACTTAATAAAACATGACTTTTTTTCATGCCAAACGTTGTCCAACACAAAGATAATTCGCTGTACCACAATTGAGAAATACATAATATATTGATGAATATTATACTTCCAGTAGTTTAACTCTTCCCACTTCCCAATCGCCATAAGACTTACTAGGCAAATAGCCTTTCGAGTCTCACTGTCTCACTTCTCACTTTCTCAGTCTCTGCGCTGGCCGTAGACGGCAGACGTGACTACGCGAGGGAACAATAAATATGATCGTACAACATGTGTTTACCGCGTAGTACCACGCTATACCGTATCTACTGTCTAGATTATTACACATGTATTCCATATCAACGAGACTAACAACCAGTTGTCCTTCGGATATCAGTCGTGAGTCGTGACCTTTATTAGGTAGGCACATTTGTATTTGTCTGGCTGCCTATTTTTGTACTTGTAAATTGGATTTTGGTTTCTGCACAGCAGACAATAGTGTAAACATCAACAATAGTTGGTACGCGAGGATTAGCACGTAAGCAAAAATCGCCGCCAAGAAATTCCCACTTGTTGGGTTTACCCTGACCCCTATCGTGTAACAATTTATGTAATAATTAATGACAACATAAAATAAAATATTCAGCCGGTTTACAGGTAATTGATTGTTATGATTTGATATGATTTTGGAAGGTTTATTGACATCACCATGTGCGTTATAATATATTGTCAGATCGGTACGGTGCTCATCAGCAGCTGATAGGTCACACTACTTATCACTAACAAACGATTTTATCGCCTAGGACCGTGGTGTGTGCCGCCAAAACATTATATAATTTATAAATTTATAAATTAAGTCATATTTTTTTATTTCAGCATTAAGATAAAAGAGTAAAAACCATTATTTTTTTAACATCATACATGTGTAAATCAGCATTTTTGACATTAATAATTTAAAAATAGGTAACAAAAACAAAAAATAGTTCTACGCTTTAAATATATTAAAAATAAATTATACCCATAAATCAAAGATCTATGTTCAGTTCGTCACGAGTATCGTACTAATTTGAAATTAATAGTATTTTTTTATTAAAAAAAATTTAATACTTTTTTTAAACCGTTTAAATGTAATTAAGTAAATTACATTTTCTTTTTTTAAATAAAATGCCAACATAATTAATTCATTCATTCACAAAGGTTTTTAATTTTTACTTTTTCAGAAATCCATTACTTAAAGTGTGTCGACGTGTTTATGGTTCTTAATTAGGGTGTTGACATCCTATAAAAAGTTGAGAAACACTGGCCTAGGGTCTTATAATTTTTCTATTTTTTTATGCATTATTCCCTGAGGGATACATCTCTTTCATATAATTCAAGTTGAATTCTCATTTTTAAGTTTAATACTCGTCTCTATTTAAATATTCACTTATAAATTAAGAGAAATAATTAATATTAGTTTAGGTATTGGATACCTATAATTATGATAATATATTATTATACATACTAGTGTATGAATACTATGAATTCGTTTTTGGCGTCTGGAAAAGTGAAATTAAAAAAAAAATCTAAGGTACTGGTGGTTACAAGTTCTGTTAAATATTAAATCATCTAACAATTTATTAACATGATTAATAATAATTTCATGTAATTGTTTGGAACTATGCACAACTATTAAAACATATATTTTTATTAGTTTTTTTATTTTTCTTATTAAATGATATACATATACTATAGGTGTAACTATGTAAGTGTTACGCTTCTATTTAAAATTTAAATTTGCAAAACAAAATTATTACATAATGACACGTGTTCAATTATTAATTATTATATGAAAATTTGAATAGTATCAATCATTAAATAGTTTTAAAATGTATAAGTGCAAATAACAAAATATATCTTTATTTTTTTTTACTTATTAACTTGTCAGTAAAAAAATATGAATGTACTCTTGTAATTAATTTGATACCGATTAATAATAATCAAAATAAATAAACTTCAGAATAGTTAAGATTATCTATACGTTAAAACATTCAATTAAATTTAAATTATATTATATGTTCTTATCTTTGTATTGTGTTAAATATATTATTAAAATTAACCCGATAAGTACACTTCCATTCAATTCAAACATAATATAMAGATTCAATTATTCAAATTATTTATTACCAACTTAATAATATAATAGTTTAATTATATGTATATAAAATAAAATTTTATAATTGCATATGTCCCAACTCGATATTTGCATGTTTGTATAATTCATTAGTTAAATAAAATACCCATCAATTAATTATTGTACCTTACATTTTACATTGATACTGTATAGTACTAGAGTGCTATTATAGGTTTTCTATCCAAACCTATCTTTCAGTTAAGCAACATTCATTTATTATAGTTAGTACACTTCAATTGTCAATTAACTTAATACTGTAAACCTTATGTTTTATTATATACTTACAATAATATTAAATTATGTATACATTATATTTATAATATTTATATACTATATACATAATAATATAAAATAATATCTGGAGTACTTTAATATGCCATTAAAATTAAAAAAAAAATAATTGAATGCACATATAACTTATTTCCATGTGTTCAGTGTATGGTGTTATTCCCAAATATAACGTGTACCTACTATGTACTATGTAAATACTAAAAATACAATTTCCTTATTTTTGTTATTGACCTGTTTACAAGTTTCGGAGTTACTTACTTAGTGCCCATTGGTAAACAAACAATTATTTACTCGCATTAAAATACATTCGTATTTTCCTTCTTTATTTATCCAGTTGGCATTTTTCTGTCTTTTTTAGGCACATAGTAAAAACCGAAGGCCCCAAGGCTCTGTTCAAAGGACTGGTGCCCAACATCGTGGGCGTCGCTCCGTCCAGAGCCATATATTTCGGGGCCTACGCACAATCCAAAAAGTTTTTCAACACCGTACTTAACCCGGACACACCGATAGTACATGTACTATCGGCGTCTTTTGCAGGTAATAATCTTTTTTGTTTGTGATGTATTTAAAATGTGTTCGGATAAAAAAAAACATTAAATAATGTAAATCAATAGGATTTAATAAAAATACTATTTTAACTATAATAGTGTATAAGGATATAACTTTTTATTAGTTTATTTAGTTGTATCTATTGCACCAATCATTGCATGGGAATAATACAAAATTCGGTATTAAATTTGAATTACTCGTTTTACTTTTTCCTGTTTTTTATTTAGAATGTTATACAATTTTGCAACCACCTATAAAAATACCTCCTACCCTTTACCCATCCTTAATGCTTATGAACTCACTATTAGTCTCATATACCTTTAATGGTAGGCGGAAAAATGGCCATGGAAAAAAAACCCTCGGAAAAAAACCCAAACTGAAAAATACACCCCGAAAAAAAGCACAAGAAAATAAAAGTGCAATCATTGTAAATTTTAATATTTTATAAAATGTGGTTGATTGTTGATTATACAATGGATTTACAATCATATAATATTTTTATTTCTGTTATAGAATAATACATTTTTAACAGAACATAAGAACAAAATATTCACGTTTCTGGACTTKTGGTAACATAATAATATAGATTGTATTGTTAACTATCACACGTACAAATCTAGTGTTTAATTAACAAACAAAACACTTATTAAGAATTAATTAATCATCATTTACTTGGATTAATTTAACTCATTTATTAATACAATTATTAGAATCAATATTTAATACAAAATTATTTTGACATTATAGCTATTTTAAATATAACTTTTTAGGTTTAACCATTAAGTTAATTCAGCTACACGCTGGTGTTATCTTTAACTACCCAAATCACATGATTTACCTGTAAATTAACTGTACAATAATGATAACTAACTATAAAAAGCTAAGTTAAACAATACAAAATTTAACTGAAGTTAAAAAGTTTAAAAAAAATTAATTAAGTACTATGTATATTATTTAAAATATGTATCTATAAATAAATGTAAATATATTATGTATAATATATTTTTTTGGGCTTTTTTTCCGTGGCCATTTTTTCCGCGATTCACCTTTTATATGAACATTTTGTTCTTGCCTGAAAATCGAATAAAATCTTTCATTTCTTTAAATGTATGCCCAATGCGCAAATTGGCAAGATTTTTTGTCCTACTTTTTAAATAACTAATAATAGTATACCTACTACCTAGTTTTATTTTTATGATTATAATATAATGTTTATAATTATTTTAACAAAATATACATTATGTCATTATGGAATATTCACTATAGTTGCTCTCTCTAAATAATATTAGGTATTATCTTTTAAAATCAAGAGTTTTTACTTTGTAATTATTAAATTGTTGAGCTACGAATATCGCGATAAATATAATCTTTTAACTATTAAATTAAATTAATTAAAAAAAAAAAACAAGAATTTATAGCTTATTACTTATTAGTTATTACTGATAAAAAATGAAATGTATAATATTGCACACATTATTACAAACATTTATCTAAAACGTATATTTTATTTTACCTTACTGATTTTATTTTATTCATCTTTTTTTTTTTTTTTAAATATAATTATATTTTAATTTAATTTGCATTGTAAATTATATTTATAGCAACCGAACACAATAATGCGTTATATTGTTTTTATTTGTAGACGTTTTTGATTTTTGGAACAAATGTTGAACATATTACATATTTCAATATTTGATTTTATATTATATTATAAATTGTTATGAACATTGAACTATTATTAAATTTGTCAACAACTAAATGGACAAAAACAACGTGTAGAGAAATACGCGTTATAAAATCGTCGACGAAACAAGTTAATCCAGTCGGTTTGCTTTTTTTATGGACCTCGATCACTCGCAGCGTAGGTAAAACGATTTTAATTTTAATTTAACAATATTAATTTCGTTAGATTCTTATTACTGTTATTATTTCGTGAATTCCTTCAGAATTTTGGTTGCAGACGGTATTTTTGTTAATCGACGTCAATAATAATATTCTATTGTTCGTAGATTTATAATATTGACGTACAAGATTCGACAGTTTGTAAACAAAACAGTCTTCATTAGAAAAGTCGAACGGCTTTATAAATTGTCGCAGGTCTAGTCGCGTCATCCGCTTTTACCGTTCACGAGCGGATCGATGGTGACGGTCCGAACATTATGAAAAAATATCATATGTTCGGTGTTTTGTTTATATTTCAAATGCGGCGGTAGCGTTGGCCTCGATTTCTTCGTCTGTGGTCGTCGGTGTGTTGTTGTTGTTGTTGTTGATGTTTTTATCGTGTGTGCATTACGGTGCGTGCGCGCGCATCGTTTATATCGTATACCATGATGGCCCTAGCGGCGGTAGCAATCGTATCCCCACGCCACCACTTCACCGCTTCTATATCTCATCGTCCTCGAACCGTGCTGTCGCCCGGTGAGAGTATCGTATTTTTATAATACATTTTTCCGCGTAAATAAAAACGTACACGTTACTTTTATCACGTAGGCCGCGTGCGAGTATCACGGTTGTATGCCCGTGTCGGTGTTTTGGTATGAAATTTTCTCCTACCACGTCGACCGCAGTGCACACCGTTGTGCTGTGATGTGGGCGGGCGGGATGGGTCGGCGCATTTAGTAAACACGCAACGACGAATTCCTTTATTATTATTTATTAATTATTTATGATTATTTACAGAATTGTTCACGTTGTTCCGAAGAACATGAGTCGTCAACACGTGCCGATCGTGTTTGTGGCTTAATCTCGCGTGGCGTAGAGGGGATAATATTATTGAGCGAATTGTTTACAATTTGTTTGATTCACACTGCCCAAATTCATAGRATATTAAAAATCGTTCGCTTGAGCAGACAGTAGTCACCGTTTGCATTTTATGTTAGTAAATGACTGATTGCCAAAATCACTACTTTTACGATAGTATGAATACCCCACGGGAGTAGTAGGTTTGTAAAAAATATGTATTTGAAAAAAAAAAGATTTTAAAAACAATTAAATCCGAATTTAGTAGTATATTATATTATAATATAATATTATGAACAATTTACTTAATTTACATCTTACAAGGAATATAAAAGTCCTACAGAGCAAACAGKCTTGGAACTGTTGTTTGTTAATAAAATTCAAAACTAATAATAATATTATGATCGTTTTTTCAATCGTTATGTAACCTCAACCTGTCTTTAGTATAATTGTACTTAAGTATAAATAGGTATCTGTAAAACGTGAATTTTTAATATAACTTCGTCATTGGGGGACAATTTTCCTCTCACATAAAATTTCATAAATACATTTATTTTTGGTTACAATTTTATAATATACAGTATACACCTTGCATTAAACTGATAGATTTTTAAGTTATTATTGTTTATTATTATATTATTATTCTAAGTATTTAAATGTTACTATTTTTATTTTATTTTTTATAGTTACAATCGTGTAATACTATAACGGCACTACTGCATTATGTATAAAATATATAGGTACTAACATATCTTATTGTTTATGCTTAAAATAACTTAAGAATGTATCAATGACTGTTTACTGCTGTTGGTAGTTGGTTGTATCCAACCTTTTGAAAACTCAATTATAATATCGTAATTAGTAAAATATGAACAATTTTGTCATTTCGACGACTAACGATTATTAATATTAAAAGTCACGTTCTTTTACCGCGGTACATATTGTGTTGGTATAACTGTTCATTCGTATAATAAAAAACTACAGGTTTTGTCAAATCAGATAGAATTGAATGGATTATACCGCGTATGACATAAGACGTTTAAACAACTGTAATAGGTAGTTTATGTTTAAAGTTGAATAATATTTTTGAGAGACTTATCTATTTCTTTTCTTAAAAATCGTTTAGTTTTAAGTCTGATATATTAAGAATTTAATAATTTAAGCCAAAGTATTAAATTAATTGATTATATACCAATGTACCATAAGTCCATAGACATTTCACTGTGCTTGCTCTGTAGTCTATAGAAGTGTAGATGCCTATGGCTTGCTGTAGGTACTTTGTAGAGTTATTACGCATAAATAATAAACCTAAGAATAAGAATTGTAATTTTTACACTAGAAATAAATATTCATCCATGCATCGAAATATTATGTTTGGTGTTTTCTTTGCATATTATGTATTTAATGTTTATGTATTATATTGGATGTTAGATATGAAAAGTTAAATAACGTTTTATTTGTATTAATTGGTCTTCGGATAATACTAAATAGAATCCTAATTAGTGTTCACCGAAATGTTGAGAAATAATATGATAACTAAAAAAATTCCATTTTTTATAAATGGTCAAGATATTAAAAAATTTAACGTAAACGTCATAGGTTGAATGTTCTTTCATAGAAAGAAATTGCAAGTAAACAAATTAAATCAAAACATGTCTCATTGTAATAATGTAATATGATAGCATATTATTGCGCAGCAAATAAACTAAAGCACATATTCAATACTCTACATTCTATGATAAAATATATAGTTGGTATAGATTCAATGACAATCAATTGCATAATTTTATATCAATAAGTATTATATTATTATACTAGGTATACTGATCTAGTTATAAACCGGTAATAAAACTTATTTTAATTTTAGACATTTTAGTTTTATTCTTTTAAATAATTATAATTTAACAAACAAATAGTTAAGTATTTTTTTTAATTTTGAAGTGAGGTATGAGCATTTTAAAGTTTAAAATTTTGAATTGTTTATAACTTTCTTTAAAAGTTAAATATCGAAAAAACCTTTCGAGGTACTCTAAAACTTAGATATTAATTTTACACATTTTTTTAGTCACAATAAATGATAAATCAGGTTAAACATTTTTAATCTAATATCATAAATTATAATAATTGAACGTGTAAATTAAATAATTAATTAATTAATCCTTAATTTTACACGTATAAATTATGATTGGCTATACTGGTGATAGAAAACATCTCGTTTATATTATATACCATATTAACTGTTTATTTAATTTAAACTGCGGAATCGTTGTATGAAATGTATAGTTGATGCTGTCAAAAACTTAGTGTATAGAGTATAGCTCCAGCTTAACTCATAACATAATATGTAAAATTATGAGTTAATGTTTTTATTACTTCTGCGTTCCAATGGAAAACGTATACGTAGTTCCGCTGTCCATAATATGCGGTGGATCACTTCCGTTGTCGTTGTGTAATATTCTACATGGCCACTTAAATGTAAAATAATGAATATTGAATTCAACAGAAAATACTGTGTCTAGTCTGAGGTTAAGTTAGGTAATTAAATATCTGAAGTCAATTGAATTTTTATAAAACGCAGTTCTCTTTATTTATCTTCACTTATTATAGATTACAATTTTTTGGATTTAAATACGATGTTAGTTTAGAGTATATGTTTTGCCTATTTGTTTTGACTTTAGGCAGATTCTGCAGGTAAAAAATTGCATCAGTTTTAGTCGTTAGTTGATCATATCTTGTGCATCTGACCGGCTTGGGTCAATTTTATTGCATGTCCCGCCAAATGCAGTATGGTTGTTGTATGTATTGTGCAGTTTTTTTAAATTCAATATTTTGTTTATACTTCAACCTTAATTTACATTAGGAAAATATAAAAAAATTTACAAGCAAATAATTAAATTAGACTTAATATTAAAATGTTATGGTGCATTTTAAGTTGTTCAGGTGGAGTGCTTCTGACAGTTTTAGATATTCCAGCTGCTTGTCTTTCCGTTTTAAATGCAAGCGCGTTCAGCTACTATGTGTTTGATAGTGAATACACCACAACTATAATATAGCTAATATAGCCCTTCCCCTCCCCCCGGTCTTTCAACACCATCAGATATTGATGGCGGTTACCGAATTGAATTGTGTCCGATTCTCATTTTATTAGGTAATGGAAGTTCTCAGGTAGGCACTATTAAACAGGTAGTAGAGTTACAAGTTATTACACTCGAGAATTCAATGGTTGATTTTTATTACATTACTATTGTTATTGTGTTTCGTAGAAACTGTGTAGAATCGGTGATAAATATAATTCAACTTTCAATAAATATAACTACGTAATCGATTAATCATATTATCTATAGCATAATGTTTAAAATAAACTATCATATTTATAAAATAGAAACTCGAGAGTAAATATTGTTTTATTTTGCGTTTGTCTGGCTCTTGACCATAGATAAATAAGTCTTATTGAGAAATTGCATTACCTTGGCTTCAATACAAAATCCCGTTTTTTGTAGACATTCGAAGTTAATTATTTGATGTCAAACGAATACATTCGAGTATCCGTTATTCCATCAACGATATCAACATATTATATTTCGTTGAAATTGTTCGATATTATTAATTCAGTTTTTACATATTATAACATAATATTGAGAAATGTCAAACATTGTGGTTTGGTCGTTTATAGGATTTTATTTTAGTAACTTTTATTTTACATAATGTATTATAATAAATAATATTTAATTAACTATAAATATAATTCGGGGCTAAAAATGATTCTAATTTTCAGGTTTTGCTTCATGTTCAGCAACCAATCCTATTTGGCTGGTCAAAACTAGATTACAGTTGGATTTGAACAAAAATGGGAAAAGACTCACGGCTGGTCAATGTATCAGACGGATATATAGGACTGGGGTAAATATTTATAGACCAAAATCCCATCCCTACTGTTAAGATGGCGTAACACTGACATTTGTTRTCTTCGTCTTTCAAGTGCGTAATTTAGCAAGTTTATGTTTAGCAGATCACGTGTAACTTATTTTAGTTTCAAGATTAGAGTGAATCGACTTCGTATAAAAGTTGATGGTAAGAAAATTATCTGCGTTTATATATAGGTTTTTTACGATGATTCAGTTTTTAAGTGAATTATCGGCATTTTTAATTCCTGTTATATTATATATGCACTACTTGCTAAAAAATTGAATTATCGTAAAAACAAACCACACACAAATTATCAAACAAATAATATTCTTGCCATTATGTTTCATAATAAGCTGATTTACTCTTTAATGTTTAAGCTAACGAAGCTATATGTGGTCTGTTAAACGTAAATTTGCCATGTTACGCTCTTGCAAACGGAAGCAACAAATATTATAGTTAGTTCTCTTAATATAAAATAATTTTATTATTTATATAAATTAAAATAAATTGTTATTGTGTATGTAAATAGGGCATAAAAGGTTTCTATAAAGGTATTACAGCTTCGTACTTTGGAATATCTGAAACTGTTGTGCACTTTGTCATCTACGAAGCAATCAAAGCAAGACTGATAGCCGCTCGTGTTGGACTTAATGAGTCTGAAGATAATACCAAAACCTCCAAAGATTTTCTCGAATTCATGATGGCTGGTGCCATTTCTAAGACTGTTGCTTCGTCCATTGCCTATCCTCACGGTAATGCATAAATTATAGCTGTACCTGCCATGGTACACCTAATTAGCATAAATATATTTAAGTAAACTTTCTTTCTTAAAATGCAATGGATACAGAAAAATATATTTATTTACTTTTATTAAAAAGGAAAAAGAAAAGGAAAAGGAATCACGAGTTCAATTATTTTAAATCTTTTATTATACAATTCGTAAATTCAGGATATGTATACATTTAAATGTTTTTCATATTATTAAATATATTTTATTTTTATCACTTCCAAGTTTTAAGTTTCATGTTTATCTATAAATACACTATATGATCAAACAATTTGGTACTTACGTATCATTTACCGTGTTTTATGTTTACTTAATAATTTATGGTTTTTTTTTTCATATGCTTTTATAGAGGTTGCTAGAACTAGACTTCGAGAAGAAGGTACCAAGTATCGAAGCTTCTTCCAGACTCTATTAACGGTTTATAGCGAGGAGGGTCCAAGGGGACTATACCGTGGTCTGACCACTCAGCTGGTCAGACAAATACCTAACACGGCCATTATGATGGCAACATACGAGGCTGCTGTTTATGTGATGACTACGTATTATAGTCCTAACGATGCTGTGTTCTACGAAGATACTGATGATCGATACGAGTGATATTTATTACCAATGTTATATTATATGGTGAGTTTTAATTTATTGAATGTACATCTACTTCTTACCCAAATATAGTTTTTGATGATGGCGGAGTAAAACATTTAAAAAAAAATTGCCAAACAATAAGCTAAAAAACAAAAACTAATTTCAATTTCAATTATAATAATTTCGCTTTATACATTACACGAAATCCAATTAAAATTGTGTATTCCGCTTTTAAAGTTATTGATATTATTATTATTATTATTAATTATCGCTTTTTATAAAATCGAAAGTATTTGATTGCATATAAAAGTGTTTTTGTAAAAATTTAATTATCTTACATGTAAAGTTACAAACATGCCATTCTATTTAATTATTAGTAAAACTATTAAAAATACCTCCTATCTATAAAATGTGCTTTATTATTCAGTATACTAATACAGTAATACGTGTCTATATAAATTGATGTTATATTAAATTCCATAAAAATTTAATAAATACGAATAACTACTGCATAGAGCTTAAAATAAATGTCTGCTTCATACTTAAGTATTTTTAATCAATATCTGTCTTATGCTTTTAGATTACTCACATTCTCATAACACTTAACAAGGATATTTTATTCAAAAATATTATATAATATAAACATCACGATATAATTGATACCTAATACTTGAGTTATATCATGCCATTATTACTCTAATGCTCTATATATTATACTTTATCCAAAGGTAAACAATGCTTATTAATTATAATAATATCAGAACTTGTTAAAAATTAGTAAATCAATTTGGTATATTATATTATAATTTATTAGTTATTATACCTTATCATACAGATAATATATAATATTCATTATGAATATTATAATACGAAATTTTGATAACCTTTGATTGGTCCTTCCTGTAATATAAAGAAGTAACAAAACAATTCTAAATGTCTTGAATGCAAATCTATAAATAGCTGCTATTCAATGACGTCCGTTGCACGTCAAACATTTGATAAAATTGTTTTTCTATAATATAGACAACCGCCCAGCCAAACGCAATTCGTTGGCTGCACGTGATATAATATTTTTACATGCCATTTATTTATTTTTTCAGGTTGAAGATCTCAACGTATCGCAGTCTTAGTTATGTTGATAAAGCCGCCTACTACCCAAACATTTGCTCCATTTACTATTGAACAATCTCTGCGCACATAAGTCATTGAAGAGAATGAGCCACATTTATTTATTACGTGATATATTTATTGTATTCCAACATTTTTTTTCTTTTTAATAAGCCTATTCTCTCATCACGTCCTTCTTGTTTGCCTTCCTATTAATTTTCTTTTTTATATACTTATATTTACAATTTATTAATTAAGCATTTGTTTTTTAGTTCATAATTTTTAAGCTGTCTGTTAGACAATTTAACCATTATTATTATTATTACTATTATTGGCATTAATTATTATATTTATTAAAATTAAAGTCATTATTATTAAACATAGTTATTATTTATAGATTTAGGTAATCTACAAGCGAGTCAGTTAAAGACGATCCTAAAATTTACACGTTTAATATATATTGCGATACTGAGATAATATGAGTAGTATGACATTATATTTTACCAAAATAATTGTTATTCGTATTTTGCAATTTGTAATTGTTTTTTGTTTTCATACCCTATGATAGTATATTGTATGTAATATTCAAAATTAATGATTCCAATGTAATGGGTGCAGAGGACATTAAAAGTAAATTTAGGTATTTATATTTGGAGATTAAATTGTCTAGTAAGGAATGCTGTATATTATGGCCATGTAAAATATAGTCTTGTTTATAGCATAATAACTATTATCAATGTTATCAAAACAAAAATATTTGTTTTTACTATATTTTGTATATGTGACAATGTAATCTTCTATGAACTTTTGACATTTGCTTTTAGTATATTAAAATTGTTTATAAAGAAAACTAAAAAAATTGTGTTCAGTATCATTATGTTAAACTATTTTGCTTGATTATAAAATAGTATTATAAATTATAACAGGAGAATGTTTATTATMAACGGTATATCTATAAAGTTATTTCTATAAAACTATTTATTACTAAAACAATTTGATTTTCCTCTTAATCAATTAAAAACACAATCTTAGGTTTTTTCAGGAATGATGATTGATGTTTATACATTAAAAATAAAAACATTTTGATTTACGTTATGTGAATAATTATAACTTATGAAACTGAATTTAGGTAAACTGATTGTTTGATAACTTTATGGAAATCATATCTATCAACTTTATAATATTAAGTATACATTTCAATGAATTGATGATTTGTGCTCAAATTAATTAAATTAATTTTAGATTATCTAAGTATTATTTATCTCAGTACTGTTATTAAATGTTAATATTTTATTATAATGACATGTAGGTACATTGTAAAATTATTTAAATCACTTTCAAATCCAAATCGTCCAATTACTGAAAAAGAATAGTTTTTATGAAAACATTAAGGAATAAAATGTATTAAGCATTGAACAATAGTTAGTTGTTTTTATTTATAAATATTAAGCACATAGTTGAAAAAAAATTGAAAATTGATAATTGTTTATACACATCTTAATCAAATACTTTACATTCCTCACATTTCTTACTTCAAATTTTAAAATTATCTTTTACAGTGTCTATACTTCAACATTTTAAGTAAGACTAATGTACTGTTCTATAAGATATGAAAATTATACATTATATAAATACTTATACATTTAAAAAAAAATAGAACTTTAAAATAAAAAATGAAAACATGTGTAACACTATAGTTTATGAAATAGATCCAATTTTCTTAGTTTTTTTTAGCTAACTCGTTAATTATTTTCTCTGTGTCAATGTGTACATTTTTGTGACAACCTAACATGGTTAATCCATTCAATCGATCCTATATAAGATGGATAAGTGGATTATATCCGTAATTATAATTTATGACATAATATGGGTAATTTTATAACCAAATAATTTTATATCAGTATATAAGTCAATGCATTAAACATAAAAAAAAGGCTCTGGGGGAGGATCTGTCCCCATCATCCCCCCCATAACTACGCCACTGGTCTGGGGTTAATGATCTCAAACTATAAATATATTATATAGTTATTATACTCATTCAAATAATATATTCTTAGATGTTTGCTTATCTATTTGAATTGAATTATCAATGTCATATTGCCATAMTAATGAATCATAATATATGACATATATTCTATTAATAATTTTTTTACAATAAATATTTGGTAGATAGTGTTCATTAAAATTAAGAAATATTTAAATTTTTAAGAGGTACTTAAATGTATTATTTTTATTCATGTATCTGAATACAATGTTATTAACTGTATATCACCGCACCTAAATATATTATGTAATGTTATGTTAATTATTTAAATTATATTTGTTAAATTATACAAAAATACTATTGTAATAATTGTATACACTCATTTGTTCTAGCTACATGATATAATATAAGTAAACGTTAAATAATATATTGAATTTTGGTTTTGATAAATTAAAAACATTTATTGAATATTTTGAATATTTTCATTAAGTAAGCGATCTACTTTATCTATCTAATTATTAGTTTTTAATTCATAACCTAACCTATATTGAATTTTATTTTTAATAGATTACAGATATTTATAAAGTTTACATGAATCAGAATAATATACAAAAATAAATCTGTTCATTAGGCATTTGAATTTAAGTACATTATAACCTGGTGAGACTAGTACAGGGTGCCTTTCCAAAAATTAATTATTGTACACATTTTGTATAGATTTTAATTGTATTTTAAAATACAAAATAAACTATTCTATAATAATTATTAGTTATTTCTATCAGTAATGAATAGGTATTGGATAGGTGCTGAAAACCCTATGAAAAATGTTTAATGAAAATAGAAAAATAAAAACTAGTCCAGTCCATGTATATCATAATTTTTTATTATATCAAGTACCTTTCACCTATTCACTGGTGAAAATATGAAATTATATATTTTTAATGGATGGGCAACTAGATACCTACTTGATACATAGATTTAAAAAAAATTTACCATACAATAGTTAATAGATACCTACCAATGCTCTTCATATGAGTGTCGTGATGCAAGATGTATGTATTTATAATAGATATGTACCTACACTAATTTTTTTTTTTTGATAATCCCATTCTGACATGCCAGTCTAACGTATATCCCAGTAAACATAGCACGTATAATATACGTGTATAATAAGGATAACTTTGGTGTATGTATATACGTAGAAATAATTCGTATAATAACGGTATAAYATACGTTGAAATACGTATATTTTACGTTGACGAAACGTATATACATATTCGTACATTTTTCGTGATAAAATTACGTTTATTCTACGTTGATCGTACGGTTATT